GGGGGGGTGGAGAGATTTGACCTGGAGCCGCGCCCAGGTGAGGGTGTGAGGGGGGGAGAGAGAGGGCGGGTACACACCCAGACAGAGCCTAAAGCCGGCAGCTGGGAAACAAGCCGGTGTCAGACTGGGAAGGCAGCAGGGGAAGAGAGTCTATTCTTAAAACAGAAAAGTCGCCTCGGACTAGAATAACTTTATTTTCCCCGTCCCTAGATTTTGTTTTTTGTAAACGCACAAAAACTTAATCGACCCCCCCCCCCATTTCCACAGCTAACTTTTTTGTCGGAACTTTCAGATTTGTTTTAATAACAAAAATTTAACCACTTTTTTTTGGCGTGTCTTTTTTTTGCGCGATATATAAATTTTAACGCGAATTTCGTACTTTTTTTGGAAGGTGTTTTTACAAAAAAAAAGTTTTTTTTCTGTAAGAAAAGTTACTTTTTTTTAATACACTCGCTCAGAAACTTTTTTTTTTAAAAAAGCATTTTTGTTTTGCACACACCCAGGAAGCCACACATACCCTCCCTCTGCCATAAAGTTTTAGGAGCGATTTTCTGACGGCTTACTTTCAGGTGGAAATTCCCGGGCAATGGCGGCGATTCACCGAGCGGCGTATCACCTCCTCCTGCTGCTGGTAAGAGAGTTTACTTCACGAAATTGGAGATTTTATTGTTATTCTTAAACAAAGTGTGTTTGCACACCGTTCCCTTCCCTTCAATTCTGTTTTTGCTGGACGTTTTAAAAGCAGGAAAGTTGCAAATGAGCCCACAGTTTGGATAACTTCGAAATATTTGTGGTCAAAAATTAACTTAATCCCAGCAATTCAATAAAGTAAAACGGCGGCGATAATAGCTTTTCAAATAAAAAACATTAACTGTCACTTTGTGTCTCAATGTTCTGATGTCTTTCCTTTTGATATTTTTAAACTATGCGCTGTTCTTCAGTCCTTTTTTTTTATTTTTCTTTCGTAGTTTTGAAAAGGTAGCTTTTGATTGAGAAACCTGAATTTCAACCTTAACCAAAATTTTACCTGGTGAGACTGAGCCAGGTAATCACTTAGTTTTGTTTTATGGTCAAGTTAAGTTGTTTCAGAGATGGTAGGAACTGCAGATGCTGGAAAATCTGAGATAATCTGAAAGCCTTCCCGCTCCTCTGATGCTGCTTGGCCTGCTGTGTTCATCCAGCTCTACACCTTGTTATCTGTTAAGTAGTTGCCTTGTTTTCTTACTCTGCCCCTAAAAATCTACACATTTGTTTTGGAAAAAAGTCATTACATACAGTACAAAATTTACACACTCTTTAGAGACAAAATGTGGTACCCTTGATGTGTCACCACACTGAGAAATTATTGGTGTCATTTGCAAAATTACTTTACGTTGTTTTTATTTCCTTCTGTGTCTGAATTCTTCAAAACTCGTTCAGGTGTGTGGGAATTAGGTTTTATTTTGTTCTTGAACTGCTAGGTAATACAATTTTCTTTTAAGGTAATCATTAAATCTGTGGCAAAAACAAAGTTACTGGAAAAGCTCAGCAGGTCTGGCAGCATCTGTGTTCTGAGGAAGGGTCACCGGACCTGAAACGTTAACTTTTTTTTTCCTTCACAGATGCTGCCAGACCTGCTGAGCTTTTCCAGCAACTTTTGTTTATGTTCCTGATTTACAGCATCTGCAGTTCTTTTGGTTTTTATTATGTTATGGTGTATGTATGGGGTAGGTGGTACTCAAACCCAGACATTCTGGTCCAGAGGTTGGGACACTACCTATGCCAGTGAGCCCAGAGGGTGCATCCTTTACAGAGTTTCCATTTGGATGCCTGTATAAAACAAAACACAACAAAAAAAATGCAATTTTTTTGCATCTGTGAAATGAAGATTTCGACTGCGGTGCAATCCTTATGCAGTATTGATTATTTTACTTCATTGGTCTGCAAAAGAGAATTTTTAAAATGGGGCATGATTTTCTGACTGGCAAGAATGTTTGTTTGTTTTATAGGAAGCTTCTGCCTTAAAATGTTGAGCATTTATTGCCATTTGATATTTTCTGTATTTTATAGTTACAGTATTAGCGTTTTCAGATGTGACATAATTACAAATGCTAGTGATCTCAGCTCTCCATTTCTATTGCTTGACGGTTATTAGTTTTGCTGGGATTTTCCTTGCAGGTTTCAGGATTAGGATTGAAATGGGGTTACTGAGTTTGCAAATTGGCAAGACAGGTGATGTGTATCCTTCCGAATCAGACTTCAAGCCCCTGTTTTGGCTTGGCAGCGCTCCTGGATGTGGGGCAGGTGCGGGTTGGATATTGAGCTTCCACTTTTGCTTCAATGCAGTGGTAACCCTCGGGAGGCTGGTGGGTTTCTCGGAGGGAATATTTGAAGTGTGTGGTCCCTCCTCATGCATGTGATCCCATCGTTAGGGCATGGAGTCTCTGTCTCTGGCTATCTTGTAAGACACAGGAGCAGAATCAGGCCATTGAGTCTGCTCTGCCATCAAATTAGACGATGGTTGATCTGATGATCCGCCACTCCACTTCCCTGCCTTTTCCCCATAACCCTTGATTCCCTTACTGATTGTTTCTCTTAGCCTTCATTGTACTTAATGGCCCAGCCTCGACAGTAAAGAATTCCACGGATTTATAATTCTCAGATGAAATTCCCCCTCATGCCTGTCTTTTAAACGTGCGAACCCTTATTCCGAGATGATGCCCTCTGTTCCTAGACTCTCTCACAAGGAGGAAACAACCTCTCCGCATCTATCCTGTCAAGCCCCCGAAGAATCTTGTATGTTTCAATAAGGTCCCTTCTCATTCTTCTAAACACAGCCCTCTCAGTGGAAGCTGCCTTCGTTTACGCCGATGGCAACCACACGCAGAGGAGGAGAGAGTGGTAGTTGATTTGCAAATGGTCGAAATGCCAGCAAGGATAAAAGAATCACCACTACTTGCAACCTTAATTGTTTTTTCTGCCTCCAACATGTAACCAGTAATGTGGCGATTTATTCCCCAGTGCCAGGTTATGCCAGGAATGATATTATCCTTCCACCTTCACCACAACACATGTGCTTTCTGAGCCTTTGGTTCTTTAATACCATCCTCTAGGGGACCAGAAAAGGCCAGTCATTGATATCTTTCTTTTTTTTTAAAAGAGATGTTATTACCCACCTCTAATGCAGGTGAGACGCGAACCCAGGTCTCCTGTCTCAGAGGTAGCGACACTACTACTGCACCACGAGAGCCCTGTCCTTGTTCTAATCTTATTCTAGCTTGAATTATTTATCATGTAACAGGAGCCCACCTATTTCCTGAAGTTACAAATTTCTTTTCGTTACTGGAAATGTTGAGAAATCCAACCAGGCATGTCTGTTTTCTCTCCCCTGGAAGGGGTGGGAACTGCTACTAATATATATGCGCAAATGCTGAATTCTTTGGCAAATAACAATGGGTTTAACGTGCCAGAGATCGATGGAGAAAGTTTGTTTTTATTTTAGTGCGTTTAACATGTATTAGTGTCTAACTAACAAATCAGTTTGTGGCATAGATCTTGGACATCATGTATGTTATTGAAAGCCTAGTGAACATGGTAACCCATCTTCAAACACCCCCATGTGTGACCTCTAGAAGTGGCTGCATTTGTGCTGTTTAAATCGTCAACATGGGAATGTTTTAAATATCATCTCTGATTAAGTATTTTTAGAAAGTGTTCTGTAGATTTTGAAAAAAATTCCGGAAATTTAAGAAACTCCACTCTGAACGTATACCTTACCCTCTATAATCTACAGAATGTTCCAGTTCCCAAAGGCAGCTAGATTAGCATTGTCTCAAAGCTGTGCTTAAACATTATTTTTCTGAAGAAGGGTCTCGACCCAAAACGTCAGCTTTCCTGCTCCTCTGATGCTTGGCCTGCTGTGTTCATCCAGCTCTACACCTTGTTATCTCAGATTCTCCAGCATCGGCAGTTCCTACTATCTCTGCGCTTAAACATTATTGACTTTGGATACCGACAGTTTCATTAACGTTATCGTCCTAACTTTTTCTGCTGTCCTATTAACAGTCAAAGCATTTACTAAATTTTAAGCGGGGGAGGCAATGGCCTAGTGGTATTATTGCTGGACTGTTAATCCAGAGACCCAGGTAACGTTCTGGGGACCTGGGTTCAAATCCTGCCATGGTGGAATTTGAATTCAATAAATATCTGGAATTAAGAGCCTAATGATGTCCATGAATCCATTGTCAATTGTTGGAAAAACCCATCTGTTCACTAATGTCCTTTAGGGAAGGAAACTGCCATCCTTACCTGGTCTGGCCTATGCGTGACTCCAGACCCCCACCAATAGGGTTCCAGTCCCGAAGAAGGGTTATACCCGAAATGTTGACTGCTCCTTTCCTCCACATGCTGCCTGGCCAGCTGTGTTCTTCCAGCCTCCTGTTTGTCTACCTTGGATTCCAGCATTGCTGTGGTTAGAGACAAAAACACTGCAAATGTGGTTCACTCTGAACACCTCTCTGGGCAGTTAGGGGTGGGCAATAAATGCTGCCTAGCCAGTGATACCCTCATCCTGTTAATGAATAAAGAAAAAGGAATATTGTTTGTTCTTAAATCATGAAATTCATAGACTGCAGAAAAGGCCCTTCCGCCCATCAAGTCTGCACCAACATAACTACCACTAAAAGCATGCTAATCCCAATTTCCTGCACTTCTGATTTGATTTAGATTTTATTGTCACGTGTATTATACAATAGGAATGCAACAAAATACAGTGAAAAGCTTCCCTTTGTCCCATATCCTTGAATGTTATGATATTTGAAGTACTCGTCCAAATATTTTTTTAAAAGTTAGGTTTCTAGCCTCCACTATCTTCCCCAGGCAGTGTATTCCAGATATCCTCCACGAGTTTTGTTTGTGTTTGTAAGTAAAGGAAAGTTGTAGGCAGTAGCTGAGGAATCGTTAAGCAGGGGTAGAGATATATAGTGATTGCTCGTTCTTTTTCTGATCGATGACATGAAGAAATACCTCTTCTAATGCAGCGAGTGGTTAGGATTTGAAATGCTCCGCTTGATAGGGCAGAGGTGATAGATTCAAAATGGAATAAGTGTTAAAATAGCAGTGAAAATGGTGAAAGTCTGGCTTGTGCACTTTATCTGGACTCCCCTGTTTTGAAGATTCAAAACTCACCTGTGATGTGCGGTACTATTCTAATCTATATCACTCCTAATTTCAATAGTAACCATGCTTCAAAAGGTTCCAAATTATGTGCAGCACACTTTCAGCCGTCCTGTTGTTGAGGATGGTATTACATGAGTGGGAGTTTTTTAAAATACGTGCATTGCTTTGATTACAAATATAGCGGTAACACTCTAGTCAGGCTGTGTCTGAGTGAGAGAAATGTTATTTGCTTTTTGCGTATGTTATGTTTTTGCAGACTAACCTCTTGAGCGCGTGTGTTTACCCCCAACCCAACAAGGAGCTCAACAGTTAGACTTGAAAGCTTCGTGGGTAGCTTTATAGTTCACTCTTTTTTTTGCTGTTTTCCAAGTCAAGAATGATTCCTTTCTTTATATTTGTAACTGGAATATGTGCTTTTGTGAGCTGAGGAATGGTCTAGTTGGTAAACTTTGCTTCTTGGGGAGAAAATACCAGAAATTTAAGAGGTTGCTGCTGATATTTTCTTTGTTAAATAACGTGTAAAATGTTAATTTTTCTCAAAGGTAGCTGAATTTCTGGGATAATTAGGTTTACTGTTATCTATTTTGAGTAGACATTTTTTTGGGATTTTGGTGAATTGGGGTGTTCTGTGGCTAAGATTGGCCATTATTACTTTGAATGATGGGTTGTATGATGTAATCCTGCTCTGATTTTTCTCTCTCTCTCCTATTTTGTTGAAAGTGTTAATTGTACCTTTTTTTTAAAGTCAATCTTATGCTGACATGAGAAGCAGCAGCAGTTTTAAGCATTCAAAGTCTCTGGATCCTCTTTTTAAAAAAGATTAGCTACCCTTTAGATGTTGCTGGGCATTTATTTGAACCCCTTCCCAGCCACCTTGCTGACTAGATATTTTCTATTGTATTTTATGTTGGTACACACCTCTATAAAACAGATGAGTTGAACTTGTCCATCCTGGCTCAGAGTGAGGGCCACTACCACTCCTCCACAACACCAGATGAAAGCTGCGGTATTGGTCTGTGGTCAAGCAGAATAGGAATAGGTTAGGGCCGTTCAGTTTCTTGTTCTTGTTCAGTCATTCAGTTTGATCATAGCTGATCTGTAATTCCACTTAATATTTGCTCCACATTCCTTGATACCTTTCAATAATCTGCTGACTTCTGTTATTTTGAAAATTTCATTCAGCCCTTCAAGCTTTCTCCACCATTCTTCATGATCGTGGCTGATGGTCCAACTCAATAGCCTAATCCTGCTGTCTCCCCATAACCTTTGATCCCATTTGCCCCAAGTGTTTTATCTAGTCGCCTCTTGAATATATTCAAATGTTTTGGCATCAACTACTTCCTGTGGTAATGAATTCCACAGGCTCATCAATCTTTGGGTGAAGAAATGTCTCCTGATCTCCATCCTATCCCGAATCCTCAGACTGTGGCCCCTGGTTCTGGACACACCCGCCATCGGGAGCATCCTCCTTGCATCGACCCTGTCCAGTCCTCTTAGAATTTTATAAGTCTCTGAGATCTCCCCCCTCATTCGTTTGAACTCTAGCGAGAACAATCCCAACCTAGTCAATCTCTACTCGTATGTCAGACCCGCCATCCCCTGGTAAAGCTTTGCTGCTCTCCCTCGAGATCAAGAGCATCCTTCGTCAGAAAAGGAGGCCAAAACTGCGCACAATATTCTAGGTGTGGTCTCACCAAGGCTCTGTTTAACTGCAACAACACATCCCTGCTCCTGTACTCAAAACTTCTCGCAATGAAGGCCATCGTACCATTTACCTTCTTAAACGCCTGCTGCACTTGCATGCTTCCCTTCAGCAACTTGTGCACAAGGACACCCAGGTCCCACTGCACACTGCCCTCCCCCAATTTACAGCCATTCAGGTAGTAATTTGCTTTCTTGTTTTTACTTCCGAAGTGAATAACCTCATGTTTATCCAAATTATACTGCATCTGCCATACTTCCTGATTCACCCCTAAATGGATGTTGCTGTGATTCCTCAAGCCCCATGATCTTAAAGAAGGAAAAATACTTCCCAATGACCTATGTAAACGATTGTAAAAGATCTTCAGTTTTTAAAACTTACCGTAACAAAATAAATCAGAACATAGGTGTATTAATTACCTGTAAAGTAAATTGTAGAAAAAAATTCCCCTTAAACAACAGGGAGACCTGTGCCATGAATGCATATGGCTGCATGTCTGTGGAGATGACAATATAAGGTTTAAAGTCTGTCTCCTCCCAATGTAAACAGCTTTCCATCTCCTGCCAGGGCCAGCATTTGTTGCCCACTTTTTTTAATTGCTGTTCAGTTAAATGGCTTGCATAACCATTTCGGGGCCAGTTAAGAGTAAATATTTGCTTTGGATCTGGAACCAGCTGTAAATCAAACACAACAAGGAGGACAAATTTCCTTCCCTATAGGAAACTAATTTTACTAAATAATATTAGTGTTAATAAACTAATTTCCCTACAATGTAGGGCATTATTGATCCAGATGGGTATTTACAATAACCAATGCTAGTTTAAAGATCACCATGATAGAAATCACCTTATATTCCAGATTTTAATAATTGAATCAGCCGACTTGGTGGGATTTGAATCCATGAACCAAAAAGTTAGAAACTGAACGAATTGCGGATGCTGTAAGTCAGGAACAAAAACAAAGTTGCTGGAAAGGCTCGGTTTGTTTTGTTCAGTTCAGTTCTGAGGAAAGGTTACTGGACCCGAAATGTTAACTCTGATTTTTTTTCTTCACAAATGCTGCCGGACCTGCTGAGCTTTTCCAGCAACTTTGTATAGGTCCAGCAGCATCTGTGAAGAAAAAAATCAGTTAACATTTCAGGTCCAGTGACCTTTCCCAGAACTGAACTGAACAAAACAAACTGAGCCTTTCCAGCAACTTTGTTTTTGAGCCAAAATATTAGTCTGGTTCTGGATTACTTATTCAAAGACGTGACCAGCGCATCACCATTAGTCCTGTTGAAGGACTTTTCTACTTCTAGCTTAGCTTTAATGAAGGATCACTTGTGAAATGTTAATTTATTTTTGCACTTTTTACAGATAATGACCAGACGTGCTTTTAACATTTTTTGTTGATTTCTGCCTTTTTGTTTTTGTTCCTTTTATAAAATATATCGAATGTTAAAATGAAAGTTGTGTGCAATTCTTCGCATGTTTCCACCATGGTACTTGTAGTGTAAAATTGCTTCTGAAACTGAACTTTATTTCATTTGGCTATATATTATGTGTTTTTCAGATGCTCACAGACTTTGACGAAGCATGTGTCAACAAATCTGTTGATGTAACTGTGCAGAACCCAGACGTTAAACAAGAACAAATAATTTCAAAAGGTAATGCAGTTCTGAGTACTTGGAAATCTGTGACTTTCATTGCTCTACCACTCGCTGTCAGTTGTGCTTTCAGTCCTGGTTCTGCAATGCCTTTGCTCTCTTTTTTAAAAACTTGCAACTTTGACTAATCTTTTAAATTTGTCCTAATTGACCTGACACAGCATCATATTTCATTCTGACAACTCTCCTGTGGGGTCCTTTTTTGCGATGTTTTGTTTTGTTAATGGCCTTCTGTAGCTGCAGTTTATTGCTGTTTTAGGGTGAGAAACGAAGAAATTATCTTAACAAATTTGGAATTTAAAACCCCCCCTGGTCTGAAGTCATTGTGGGTATCACTTTTCAGCTTCAGTGTTTGTCTTAACAGCTTTCATTGGCGGATGATTCCACAGACTCACCATTCTCTGGGTGAAGACATTCCTCCTCATCCCAGTCCTAAATGGTGTACCCCAGATCCTTGTTTTAGCCTCTTTAAAAAATACAGGATAGGCCGTTGAGGACTGAGATGAGGAGAAATGTCTTCACCGAGAGAGTGGTGAGCCTGTGGAATTCTCTGCTGTGGAAAGTGGTTGAGGCCAGAGCATTGAATGTTTTCAGGAAGTAGTTAGGTATGGTTCTTGGGACTAAAGGGTTCAAAGAGCATGGGGAGAAGGTAGGGAACAGCGTATTGAGTTGGATGATCAGCCAAGATCCTATTAAATAGCAGAGCAGGCTTGAAGGGCTGAATGGCCTACTCCTGCTCCAATTTCCTATGTTCCTAATTTTGAATTAACGTTTTTATATATGCACAGGCTGAATTTTATGGGCTGCGGTGGCTTCTATCCCCCACCTTTTTCTGGACCTGGTTTGCTATGGTCTGCCTGTACTGCTTGCAAAACCAAACTTTTCACTGTCTTAGGTAAATGTGACAACAATAAATCAAATTAAATCAGAGAGCCTGCCCTGATCCCAGTGACTGCTTCACAGGAATTTAGGGGGCTTACTGTAAATCATTTCATGTGTGTGGAGCTGAATTAAAGACTTATGTTTCATAATTGTTTAGTTATTGTCCTACGAATTTTGGAAATGAGGGTCTGTTGATACCAGTCTTATTCTATCCCTTGCATTTTTATGTATGTATACTTCTTTTCTATTTGTTATTCTCTAACTACATTGCATGGAAGACTTCAAGAGGCAGTTCTGCTAGCATCAAGCTAGGAAACATGAATTAATAAATAACCATGTCCTTTCTGTTTTGACTTTTTTAACGCAGTGAATTTAGAACATTGTCAAAAAGATATATTACAAATAAGCACCGATGATCCAGATTTTGCTGTGAAGCTTGATGGCTCCTTACGTGCAACTCGAGCTCTGCATATCAGTGAACAACGGAGTTTTAAGATTAATGTACAAGATGCAGTGACCATGGCGCATTGCACAATTCGAGTGCATTTGTTGATTCAGCCAAACCCACAGGTGAACAACTTGCTTTATTTTTTAATCCCTACCCCCGTGACTTCAGTGAACTGTGCTCAGTAATGGTTAATTAGGTTGAACGTTAGTGGAAGTTAGTGTTACCGAGTCCCACAGGAAATGATAATATGACCGTGCTGTTTCTTGTTTGGGGGAAAAACGAACCCGTTTGCTGTGCTACTTGTTTTTGCTTCCAGTAGACTAATTCACCAAGTTGTTGCCTGGGATGGAGCATTTTTCTTTTTGCATTGAAGAAAGACTCGATAGGCTCTAGTTATTTTCTTGGTAGCATAGAAGACTGAGGGGGACCTGATAAAGGTGTGTAAGGTTTATGAGGGGCATGGGCAAGGTGAATACAAAGGAGCTATTGCCCATGTAGAAGGACCAATAATAGGGTGCATCAATTTAAGTTGAAAGATTTAGAAAGGGCGTGAGGAAACCTTTTTTTTGTTTCACCCAGAGGGTAGTGGGGTCTACTGTGGAACTCTGCAAAATTGTTTGTGCTAAACATTCAAGTGGGGGTCTAGAATGCACTGCCTGGAAGGATCGTTGATACAGGTAACCTCACAACCTTTTTAAAAAGTATGTAGATGAGCACTTGAAACGTGCTAAAATTCAAGGCTATTGGCCAAGTACAGGCAGGTGGGACTAGTGTGGAGAGGTTGGCACAGACCAGATGGGCTGAGGGGCCTCTGACTCTGGATTGTACTCACGGCTGTTTGAGAGCTTTCGTGCGACCAGGACGTAACCACTTTAATTCCAGCTAGACTTTCCAGGTACAATGGCCAGGGATGACTATGCTTTCACTGGTGTAGCTGTCTTACTGTATCAGCCCATTATTCGGGAGGCTCGAGCTCTGATCTCCCGCTTGGGGCGGGGGTGGGTGGCGAGGTTTGGAGGGTGTGGGAGTGGGGAAGGGAGGAGAGAAGAGTTTACTGATATTCCACCACTATTCTAGAGCCTGGAATTCTGTTCCTAGGGCTTTTACTACAATGGTTCTGTTGATTTATCATTTTGTAAATTGGTGTCGACTTACGGCTCAGTAGGGTGGACTTGCCCTTGAGATTCTAACTTCCTCGGAGAGGGTGACAGTCTATCATTTCCAGGCTGTCAATCCAGACCCAGGCAATGTTCTGGGATTCTGGGTTCGAATCCTGCTGGGACGAGTGATGGAATTTGAATTCAACAATAATCTCTAGGATCAAGAGTCAAATAATGACCATGAAACCACAGCCGGTTATCAGAAAATGCATCTGATTCACTAATGCCCCTTTTTAGGGAAGGAAATTGTTGTCATCACCTGGCCTGACCTCCATGTGACTCCAACCTACAGCAATGTGGTTTAACTGCCCCCTGAGCTGTTAAGATTTGGTAATAAGTGCCAGCCCAGCCAGTGATGCCCACATCCTGTGAATTAATTTTAAAAAAAACACTTCGAGGCATGAGCACATAATGCAGACTCACTCCCTGAGTGAGTGCCTTTCAGATGAAATGTTAGATCAAGATGGCACAGTAGTTAGCACTGCTGCTTCACAGCACCAGGGATGTGGGTTCCATGTTCAGGCCACTGTCTGTGTGGAATTTGCATTGTTCTCCTCACGTCTGCCTGGGTTTCCTCCCACGGTCCGAAGACATGCAGGTTAGGTAGATTGGCCGTGCTAAATTGTCCATAGTGTTCAGTTTAGGTAGATTAGCTGTAGGGATGTAGGGGGAGGATGGGTCTGGCTGGGATGCTCTTTGGAGGGTTGATGTGGATTTGAGGGGCCGAATGGACTGCTTCCATACTATAGGAATTCTATGATTCTAGGACTGTGGGCCTTTGTGGCTTAGTCATAGTGTTCCTACCCTTGAGCCAGACACTTGCGTACAAGTGTTGGATTACATCTCTATAAATCAACTTGTGTAGAGTCATAGTGATATACAGCATGGAAACAAACCTTTCAGTTCAACTCATCCATGCTGACCAGTTATCCTAAATTAATCCAGTCGCGTTTGTTAGCATTTGGCCCATATCCCTCTAAATCCCTACTGTTCATATACCCATCCAGATGCCTTTTTAATATTGTAATTGTACCAGCCGCCTCCACTTCCTCTGGCAGCTCATTTCATACGTGCACCACCGTCTAAGTGAAAAAGTTGTCCCTTAGGTCCTTTTTAAAATCTTTATTTAAACCTTTGCCCTCTAGCTTTGGACTCTGCTACCCTGGGGAAAAGACCTTGGCTATTCACCCTATCCATGCCTCTCATGATTTTATAAACCTCTAAGGTCAACCCTCAGCCTCCGATGCTCCAGATAAAATAGCCCCAGCCTATTCAGCCTCTCCCTATAGCTGAATCCCTCCAGCCCGGGCAACATCCTTGTAAATCTTTTCTGAACCCTTTTCAAGTTTCACAACATCCCTCCTGTAGCAGGGAGACCAGAAGTTGAATGCAGTATTCCAAAAGTGGCCTAACCAATGTCCTGTACAGCTGCAACATGATCTCCCAACTCTATACTCAATGCACTTACTAATAAAGGAAAGCGTACCAAACACTACCTTCACTATCCTGTCTACCTGCAACTCTACTTTCAAGAAACTATGAACCTAAAACAAAAACCCCATCAGTTTCCATTCTAATGGATGTAGAACGTCTTGTGGTCTATTTGAGTGTAGAAGTTCTACCTGGTGTCCTGGTCCACGTGTGTCCCTCAGGTAGCATCTCACTCCCTGGGAGGGTGAAGACCAGTCATTTAGTTGTGTTTGTGGGCCTTTGATGTAAATGCAGCTTGTGATTCTCTCATTGACATTCTTTGAGCAAATGTATCTTTGTCTGTAAAGCTCGGAGGTTGTGAAGCTGAATAGGATTAACATTACCTTGTGTCATGCTTCCTATTTTCAGCATAAATTAGGAGAACTCATTCGATTCCGACGTGCGGTTGTACTGCGACGTCAGAAACGGAGGTGGAGACCTCTTCCGTTTTCTGTCACTGAGAATGATCCTGGACCTTACCCCAAGTATGTTCAAACTGTAAGTTGCAGCATTTTTATTCAAGTCAAACTAATGTTATGAGCCCAATTGATGCTGGTCGTGGACAAGTCACATAGCAAATAGGAGCAGATGTCAGCCATTCAGCCCTGTGTGCCTGCTCCATCCTTCAATAAGATCATGGCTAATCATCCAACTCTATATTCTGCTCCTGCTTTCTACCCCTATCATTTGATTGCTCTAGCCCTTAGAATTATATATAGCTCCTCCTTGAGAACTTTCAGTGCGTTGGCTTCTGGATTCAGGAGAGAAACTTGTGGGTCAGGGGTGGGGAGCTTTTGAAGCTTGTAAAGTCCACATTGAGACTATTGGGTTGTTGGGTTTCAAGGTGAAATTTGAGGTGCTGTTCCTCCAGTTTCTGGGTGGCATCATTGTGACACTGGAGGAGGCCCAGGATGGACATGTCGTCCAGGGAGTGGGAGGGGGAGTTGAAGTGGTTCGTGACCGGGAGGTGTTGTCATTTGTTGCGAACCGAGCCTATCTCGGACTCCAGCATCGGCGGTTCCTACTATCCCTTCGCGGAATTGAAACTGGACTCAATCTAATTCTACATCAAAATCAAAATTCCCAAATGGTGGTATATTACATATGTTAGATTGCACTAACCTCAGTTAACTCTGACTTCACACGACACGAGGTCCTGGAAACTATGGGAAGCAAGACTCTGACGGTTGTTATGATCTGGTGCAGGTGGTGTTTCCCCTCTTGGAGGCGCTCCTTCACTTTATTTCACCAGGATCCATTGTCATCCTCTGTCAAATGGTATCTATTCTACTGCCACTCTGGCAGCGCGTACATAAGAGTGAATAGGGCAGATTGTGTTAAAATTTAATTGACTCTTGGTTTTTTTTTTCTCTCCCCAGATAAAATCCGAGTTTGAGCAGAACTATACGTTGTCCTACAAAATTACTGGGGAAGGAGTGGATTGCCCTCCTTTGGGTTTTTTCGAGATCGACCCCAAGACTGGTAAAATATTTGTGTTGAAGCCTGTGGATCGTGAAGAGTACCAATCATTTAAAGTAAGTGTCTCTACTGGCCTTCATCTGTACTTGCAGAAAGTGACTGAGTCAAGTTCTTTTTGCAGCAAGACCTTGAATGAGCGACGTATCTTATGACTTGAGATTAAGCTAAGTGACAGAGGTCACCATTTGTTAGGTTTTCAGCTGCTTGTAATAGATAGCAATGCTGAAGTTTCCATATTGAACTGAGTATGAACTCTTCGAAAACAAAGTCTGTAGTTTACTGGTTTGTAACTAGGTAGGGAGGTGGTGTCGTGGTAATGTTATTGGATCAGTAATCTAGAATCCAGGCTAATGCTTGGGGAGAAACAAAACACAGTGGATGCTGGAAATCTGAAACAAACCCAGCTCTTGTGGGGAAACTTTGCAGGTCTGGCAGTATCTGTGGAGAGAGAAACAGTTAACACTTTTGAGTCCAGTGTGACTCTGCTTCAGAAGAGTGTTATTGGACTTGAAATGTTAACTGTTTTTCTCTGAATGGATGCTGCCAGAACTGGTGAGCTTCTCTAGCATTCTGTGTTTGATCATGCTCTGGGGATGTGGGTTGCAATCCCAGCATGACAGTTGGTGGAATTTATTTTCCGTTAACAGAAATTTGGAACTGAAAGTTGGTCTCGGTGATGGTGGCCATTAAGCTATCACTGATGTCCTTCTAGGGAAGAAAACTTCCTGTCCTTGCCTTGTGTTGCCTGACCAACACGCAATTCCAGATCTACTCCAATTTAGGTTGTCTCTTGCCTACAACCTCTGCATTAGCCTAACAAGCCACTCGGGTAAAGACCAACTAGGGATGGTCAACAACTGCTGCCCTTGCCAGTTGGATCCACACCTTTTTATCTTCTTGAGTAGTATTGAACAAATCCGTCTAACTTAACATCCAGTTTTTAGACTCTTCCAGAATACATAAAGTAATTTGGTGAATTGTTAGAAAGACCATTGTTGAAGACAAAACACCCTTTTTTTAAGGCAAGTCAACTTTTTTTTTAATTCACTCATGGAACATCGGCATGGCTCACTAGCCAGCATTTACTGCCTGTCCTTGAACTTGGTGGCTTGCTAGACCATTTGAGGCGGCAATTCAGAATCAACCATGTTGCTGTGGGTCTGGAGTTGCATGTAGGCCAGACCAGGTGAAGGTGGCAGATTTCCTTCCCTGAAGGGCGTTAGTGTGCCAGATGGGTTTTCCTGACAATGGTTTCGTGGTTGTCAGTGGAATCTTTATTTCAGATTTTCTTTTTAAATCGAATTCCGATTTCACCATCTCCTATGGCAGGATTCAAACCTGGGTCCCCAGAGCATTAGTTGAGTTTCTGGATGAATAGTCTAGTGATAATACCACTAGACTATCGCTCTGCAGCACCCCCCCGCCCCCACCACTTCAAATTAGTTCAATAGATTTACTAAATTTGATAATTTTTATAATGGATGTTTGCTGCGTGTATCGTGTTTTCCCCTCCGGTCAAGTGGTGTGGGTTCAAAGCCCTCTTCCAGGGTCTTTTTACCACTAGATTCACGGTCCTGGTGCAGTACTGACACAGTTCGCACAGATAGGAGCTGTCACCTTTAGGATCAGCCGTAAGACTGAGGCTTCAGCTGCCTGGTGATGTAGAGGATGCTGGTTTGGTATTTCAGAGAGTCACTGGGGAGGGTGGTTATGGACAGTTTTGAAACATGATATCCAAAGAAAATAGGTTTGGTGATTGCAAGGTATAGAAAAAAGATTGTAAGCTCAAGTCTGCATTCCCCCTCTGGATAACCTTTCATCCCCATTGCTTAATAAGAATCTATCTACTTTTTCTCTTTGAAGTCCTGAACGGCTCTGCTTCCACCACTACTCAAAGATAAAAAGGTGTGGGTGCAACCAGCAGGAGCAGCAGTGGTTGACCATCCCTAGTTGGCCTTTATCTGAGTGGCTTGTTAGGCTATTGCAGAGGTTGCAGGCAAGGGTCAGCCCAAATTGGAGTAGATCTGGAGTTGTGTTGGTCAGGCCTTCTCAAGGTGGTGGTTCCAAAGGTGCACAACCATCTGAGAGAAAAACTTCATCTTGCTCTTATTAGAATGTTAGGGAGCAAAGCCACTAAACATTAACTGTTTGTATAGTGGCACAGAACTTGAGCACTGCTGAAAAATCATACGTTTTAATGAAGCTTTTTGTCTTGTGCTCATCAGGACAATCTGCAAGAATACCACTACCAGAAATCTTACAAAGTGTCCTAATGAATGAAACATGAAAGGCTTGAACAAAAGGTCTTTTTTATTTTTTCAGCAATAATTAAATGTTCAGAAGATTTTTTTTTTCCTGTTGTGTGGGTATTCAGAGACCGTTATTCTGTACCTGGAGAGGCAGGGATCAATCAAGAACAGTGTGATTTTGTTAAAGGGAGGTCATGTCAGACCAACTTGACTGAATTTTTCAAAGAGGTGACCGGGTGTGTAGATGAGAGCAATACATTCGACACAGTCCACTTGGATGTCAGCAAGGCTTTTGATAAGGTCCTACATGGGAGACTGATAGTGAAGGTAAGAGCTTTTGGGATGAAAGGAAATTTGGCTAATTGGATCCATAATTGGCTGAGTGCCAGGAAACGGAGAATAATTTTTGAGAGATGCTTTTGTCACTGGAGCCTGTGGCCAGTGGGGTTGTGCAGGGATCAGTGTTAGGCCCCTTGCTGTTTGTAGTTTATACAAAATGATTTAAACTTGAATATAGGAGGGTTGATCGGTAAGTTCGCAGATGATACCAAAAATTGGTGGTGTGGTAAGTAGTGAGGTGGATAGCCTTAACCTACATAAAGGTATAGATGGGCTGGTCAGAGACAAATAGAATTCAATCCAGATAAACGTGAGGTGATGCACTTGGGCAGGACAAACAAAGCATGGGGATACATGATGAACTGTAGGAACGTAGGAATCAGCGAAGATCAGAGAAACTTGATGAGTGCATGCCTGCTAAGGTAGTGGCTTAGGTAAATAAAATGGTTAAGAAGGTAATGGGATACTTGCCTTTATTAGACATTTAAGAGCAGGGAGATTGTGCTGGAATTGCTAAGCCACAGCTGGAGTATTATGTGCATTTCTTGAAACCGCATTATAGGAGCATTGTGATAGCACTGGAGCGAGTGCAGAGGAGATTTACCAGGATGTTGTCTGGGCTGGAGAGTTTGTTGTGGAGTGATTGGACAAACTGGAATTGTTTTCCTTGGAGCAGAGGAGACTGAGGGGGACATGTGGTTGAGATGTACAAAACTGAGGGGCGTCGGTAAGGTGGATAGGAAAGAACTTTTTTCCTTTTGGTGGAGGGATCAATGACGAAGAAGGCATAGATTTAAGGTAAGGGGCAGGAAGTTTAGAGGTGATATGAGGGGAAAAAAATGGGTGGTGAGAGTCTGGAGCACACTGCCTGTAAGGCTGGTAGAGGTAGAAATCCCTCATGACAGTTAAGTATTTAGATGTACACTTGTGATGCCTAGATATGCAAGGCTACAGGCCAAATGCTGGAAAATGGGATGAGAATAGTTAGGTGTTTGTTTTTGACGGGTGCAGGCTTGATGGGCTGAAGGGCCTTTTCTGTACTGTAGGCCTCCATGATTATATTTTGCTTACGCTTGTGAAAAAGGAATAACGTTATAATCGGTAAATTGTAACAGTTTCTCTTCAATTCTACAGCTGATTGGAACAGCAAGAACTAAGGAGGGATTTTTTCCTGAATATCCTCTTGATCTGACTGTTAAAGTAAATGACGAGAATGATAATACCCCGAAATTTACTGAAGAGCAGTTCAGTGCAAATGTAGCTGAAGGTTCACCAGTTGGTAAGGATACATTGACCTTAAGAATTTTATAATTGAAAGTATTTAGTTGCAGTTATCAATAATCTAATTGGAGATGCTGAAGACTACCAGTCCTGTGATATTCCTTTTTGAGTTCTCTTTAATGCCCAGTTGGAAACTTGACAAGTACACCAGGGAGATTGTTCCAGTCTTTAGCTGTCACGGTCATAGAGCTGTAGAGCATGGAAACACACCCTTCGGTCCAACTCGTCCATGCTGACCAGATATCCTAAATGAATCTAGTTCCAGCACTTGGACCATATTCCCCTCAATCTTTCCTATTCATGTACCCATTCAGATGCCTTTTATGTGTTGTAAATATACCAGCCTCCTCCACTTCCTCTGGTAGCTCATTCCATACATGCACCACCCTCTGCATTTAAAAAGTTGCCCCTTAGGTCCTTTTTAAATCTTCCCCTCTCACCTTAAACCTATGACCACTAGTTTTGGACTCCCCCAACACATTGGGGGGAAAAGACCTTGATGGGATGAGATGGTGGGAGAAATAGCAAATGCTCTTGTGGTAATTTTCCCAAGTTCGCTGGACTCTGGGGAGTTCCAGCAGATTGGAAAACTGAAAATGTGATGCCACTGTTTAACAAAGGTGGTAGACAAAAGATGGGGAATTGTAGGCCTGTTAGCTTAACTTCTGTAGTGGGGAAAATGCTTGAATCTATCATCAAGGAAGAAATAGCAAGACATGTCGATAGAAATTTTCCCATTGGGCAGATGCAGCATGAGTTCATGAAAGGCAGGTCACGCTTGACTAATTTGCTGGAATTCTATGAAGACATTGAGTGCAGTGGACAACGGGGACCCAGTAGATATGATGTATCTGGATTTCCAGAAGGCATTCAACAAGGTTCCACACAAAAGGCTGCTGTATAAGATAAAGGCTCAGTGTTACAAGAAATGTATTGGCACGGATCGTGGATTGGTTAACTAGCAGGAAGCAAAGAATGGGGACAAATGAAAGCTTTTCTGGTTGGTAAACAGTGACTAGTGATGTGCCTCAGGGGTTAGTGTTAGAACCACAATTCTTTACAATTTACATAGATGATTTGGAGTTGGGGATCACATATACTGTGTCAAAGTTTGCAGATAAGACTAAGACGAGTGTTAGAGTAAAGTGTGCAGAGGACTCTGAAAGTTGGCAGAGGGATATAGATAGTTTAAGTGAGTGGGCAAAGGTCTGGCAGATGGAATGCAATGTTGATAAATGTGAAGTCATCCATTTTGGTGGGAATAACAGTTAAAATGTACTATTATTTGAACAGTAGAAAATTGCAGCATGCTGCTGTGCAGAATGACCTGGATGTCCTTGTGCATGGACCACCGAAGCTTGGTTTGTAGGTACAACAGGTAACTAAGAAGGCAAATGGAATTTTGCCCTTGCTAGAGGGATTGAGTTTAAAAGCAGGGAGGTTATGTTGCAGCTGTATAGGGTGCTGGTGAGGCTACACCTGGAGTACTGTGTGCAGTTATGGTCTCCTTACTTGAGAAAGGATGTACTGGCACTGGAGGGGGTGTAAGGGAGATTCACTAGGTTGATTCCAGAGATGGGAGGGTTGGCTTATGAGGAGAGACTGAGTAGACTGGGATTATATTCACTGGAAATTATAAGAAGGAGGGGGGGGTGTGGGTGGTGTGGAGGGGAAGGGAGTCTTATCAATTCCCTTCATAATTTTATATGTTTCTATAAAATCTTTCTATTTATTTGTGGGATGTGGGTGTTGCTGGCTGGCCAACATTTCTTTGCCCATCCCTAGTTGCCATTGAGAAAGTGGTGGTGAGCTGCCTTTTTGATAGACGCAGGGAGGTTGTTTCCACTGTTGGGTGAAACTAGAACAAGAGGGCATTGCCTCAGAATAAGGGGGAACAGGTTAAGGACAGAATTAAGGAGGAATGCCTTCACCCAAAGGGTTGTGAATCTGTGGAATTCCCTGCCCAGTGATGTAGTTGAGGCTTCCTCATTGAATGTTTTTAAAGCTAAGATTTTTTGAACAGTAAAGGAATTAAAGGTTATGGTGAGGTGTGGGTAAGTGGAGCTGAGACCATGAAAAGATCAGGCATGATCTTATTGAATGGCAGAGCAGGCTCAGTGGGCCAGTTGGCCTACTCCTGGTCCTGGTCCTGGTTCTTATGATCTTATTCACCTTATGCATGCTGCTCATGATTTTATAAACCTCTAAAAGGTCACCCCTCAGCCACTGCTCCAAGGAAAATAGCTCTGGCCTATTCAACCTCTCCCTTTCCCTCAAACCCTGGCAACATCCTCGTGAATCTTTTCTGAACCCTTTTCAAGTGTCACAACATCCTTCCTATAGCGGGGAGAACTGGATTGCATGCGCTGTGCCAAAAATGGCCTAACCAATGTCCTGTACAGCTGCAACATGACCTCCCAACACCTATACTCAATGCACTAATCAATAAAAGCAAGCATACCAGATGCTTTCTTCACTATCCTGTCTCCCTGGGACTCTACTTTCAAGAAACTATGAACCTGGTCATCATTGCTTTTGTGGCAAAAATAATCTCATGTGGTTGACTGATAGATTTCTTTTGCTAAGGAAAAGAAATCAGCCGTCCTTACCCTGTCTGGCCTAAACGTGACTCCAGAACCAAGCAAAAACCAAGCTAGCAAGTCATTGACCTCAACTTAACTAGCAAGTGAACTGTGTATCACTGTTGAGTGGGTGGACAAGGAGCCTGTGTAAAATTAGAGGTGTCTATTTTATTATAAAACTGTCTCGATGTAACTTTTCCTGAAAGCTGCTATTAACTATCCTTTGCACTTGCAATTTTAGGTACGTCTTTCTATAAGCTTAATGCTACTGACCTTGATGAGCCCAATACCTTAAATACGATGCTTCGTTACAAGATTCTGTTACAGGAGCCATCCTCAAAGTTTGGACAACTGTTCTCTGTTGATGAGCTCACAGGCGAACTTAAAACCAAGTCCGATAAACTAGACCGCGAAGTAAGCTTGATTTCAAACTCTTCTTTTTTCAAAAGTGAGATTCTCGGCAGAGTTGTGAATGTTCCTGTATCGCAAGGACTGTAGCTGTTGGAGAAGAGAGCTCACCACCACCTTCGGGGCATTTGGAGATGGGTACTGAATGCTGGACCCATCCAGTGCACAAATAAAACTAAAGCATTATATTTTTTGGCTATAAGAGTGCAAAAGTTGAAGTTTGAAATTCACAGCCCATCAATTTACGTCTGAAAGAGGAAATTGGATGATGCAAGTCTGTTTTTGATGAATGAGACAATGAAAATCCCCAATGATGGAGAGCTTTGGGAGCTATATCCTCTGAAATGTTTTATTTTCCATCACATGATGTCTTTCATTGTCCAAAGGTACTGACTGTCTCATTTCCCTCAAATGTGTTTTAATTCAGTTGAGTGCATGAGTATCGGTCAGCCTCATCAAATTCAGCTTTTTAACTTGCAAATCCCCCCCACCCACTGCAAAAAGAAACAAAGAAATCAGAAAGAAAATCAAAAATTGCTATAAAACCTCCACAGATCTGGCAGCATCTTTGGAGAGAAAGCAGAGTTAACGTTTTGGGTCCAGTTCAGAAGATGGGGGTTTGGTTCAGCTCAGTTGGCTGGACAGTTGGTTAGGGAAGCACTATGATGCCAGCACTGTGGGTTTAATTCCCATCACCAGCTGACGTTACAGTGAAGGACTGTCCTCCTTCACCTCTCCCCTAACCCTGAAGTGTGGTGGCCCTCAGGTTAAATCATCACCGGTTACCTCCCTCTCTAATGAGAGAGCAGTTCTATGATCTGGTAAGAGTATGCTGCCACAGTGACTTCTGAAGAATGCTCACTGGACCTGAAAAAATTAACTCTGCTTTCTCTCCACAGATGCTGCCAGACCTGTTGAGTTTTCCCAGCAATTTCTGATTTTTGTTACTGCTTGCCAGCTGACTTGGCTGGAGAATATAGAGCATTGGGATGAGTTCAGAATAAGGGGCTGGTTAATTAGGGCAGAATTTAAAACAAAATTCATCTGTTGTGAAAAATCTGAATTCCTTACCTGAGTCTGTGTGTGTCTGCCATAATCTTTTGAACAGCAGAGCAGTCTTAAAAGGGCCCATTGATTGTTTCTATGGAACAGGACAGTTTTGAGTTTAAAAATTTGCAAATTATCATTGTGTGGCATTGTTTCATGTTCAAATATTTCCAGGAGCAGGACACTTACACACTCTCGGTCGAGGTGAGAGACCTGGATGGGAAATCTTATGGACTATCTTCTCCAGGAACTGTTATTGTGCACGTTACCGATGTGAATGACCATGCTCCGACATTTAAGGTCAACAAAGTAAGTTGTGGAAAATTTATTCAGTATAAATAAATGAATAAAATATGTTGTTATTCTTCTGGCCTGACGTGGGTATCAGTGAAGGTTTGTTGCCTAGAGAGAGCACAGTCAGCTCACTACTCTTTGGTTGTCCATTATAGAGCATTTCAGTTGGTTCCACCTTTTCTTTCTCTCCATGGTTTTCTATCCTTCAAGCAATTATCCAATTCCTTGTTGAAAGTTATTATTAAATTGCTGTTCTCCACCATTTTTAATTTCCTTGACTGTATTCCAGCTCTTGGTATAAAATGCTCCATGTCATTCCTCTTGGCTTCTTACCACCTGTGACTTCTGGTTACTGACCAGAAGGAGGCCATTTGGCCTGTCATATCTGTACTAGCTGTCTGACTGAACATTGAACATTGTCTTGGGGCCATTCTCCTGCCGTTCTGTCCTAAGTCTTGAAATCTTCTCTGTTCTAAGGAAGCCAGTCCTTGAAATGGCTTCCAGTTTTTACCACCAGAAGATGTTTGGTTTTGTGTTTTATCGTGAACTACCTCGTCATTTACCATTTTGTTACAATCTGCACCTTGGTTTTTAAAATTTAAACTTATTATTGTCTGTGTAAAATTATGGAAAGTGTGGTCGATCATCAGCAAAACATTGACGTTGGACTAAAAAGTGCTTAATATTTTTGAAGTTTTCATCACTTATTGAAAGCATTATAGCTGCTCATGGTTCCATCCATGTCTTCACAGAATTACTATGACAGAAGGAGGCCATTCAGCCCATTGTGCCATCACTGGTTCCGTTCCCTCCTGTCTTTTCCCAATATCACTGCGTACCATTTCTATCCAAATAACCATCCAATGTCCCTCTTCAATGCCTCAATTGAACCTGCCCCCTCCACGTTTCCAGGCAGCGGATTCCAGACCCTAACTAGTTGCTGAGTGAAAAGTGTTACTTGAAAGAATTTTGCACTTGTATATTTTGGGTTTTGAAACCCTTTTGTGATTTTGAGTTATGACTATTTGATTTCAGAATTCAGATTTCCAGTTTTCTTCTACCTCCCCTCAAACGTGTATTAACACCTGTGTTATTGATGAAGATTTTACCATTTCTCAGAATTGTTAAACTTAGTATATTGACTGAAAAGAAATTGAATTTTTTTTTTTTAAGATTAAAGTTTATTTTTTGTCTCGCTTCAGTATACCGTTTATGCTAACGAGAGTGTAAGTGATGTGATGATCCTCCGAATGACAGTTATTGATCAGGACTTGGAGAACACAAACGCAAGCAGAGCTGTGTTCACTATCATTAATGGGGACAGCAATGGAAATTTTAAAGTTGTAACTGATCCCAAGACCAATGATGGTCTCTTGTACATTGTAAAGGTAAGCAAGTGTTTGAGATTGTGTAGCAAATCATTATTGCTGGGATGTCCATGAAACGTTCAACTTGGAAATCTTCAAATGCCATTGCCATGAAAACAAGGCTGAATTTTTGATCTTTGACTAATTTTAGAGGTCATAAGACCATATGATATATGAGCAGATTGAGGTTATTTAGCTTATTGAGTTTGATCACAACTGATGTGTTTCTCAATCCCATTCTCCTGCCTTCTCCCTGTAACCCTTGACCCCCTTACTCATCGAGCCTATCTATCTCTGTCCTAAATGCAGTCAATGACATGGCCTCTACAGTCTTCTGCAGCAATGAGTTCCACAGATTCACCACCCTCTGGCTGAAGAAATTCCTCGTCATCTCAGTTCTAAAGGGTCACCCCTTCACTGTGAGGCTGTGCCCTTGTGTCCTAGTCTCTCCCACTGGTGAAAACATCCTTTTCACACCCACTCTATCCAGACCTTTTCAGTATTCTGCAAGTTTCACTGAGATCCCTCTCATCCTTCTGAACTCCACTAAGTAGAGACCCAGAGTCCTCAATTGCTCCTCATATGACAAACTGTTCATTTTTGGGAATATTCTTGTAAACCCACTCTGGAACCCCTCAAAGGCAACAAGAGGCTGAAGAATCTTGGCAAATCATTCAACATTTGTGGAGAGAGAAACAAGTAATGCTTTCAGTCTAACGTGATCCTTTGATTATGGGGCCCAAAACTGCTCTCAAACCTCCAAAAGCAGCCTAAGCCAGTTTACTTTTCGTCACTTTGTTGATTTATTTTTATTGGAAATACCAGTGTCTATCTCTCACTTAACACACCGGTTGGATTTCTTCCAATAACGTTTGGAACCGTTTATTTCATTTTTTTTTTAAGAAACTAATTCCTACAATCTATCAAGTGTTCTTAGAATGATTTCATATCAATTTCATATAGTTGTTTTGGTGAGAATGAAAGTGGTGGACAGAAGAAACCACATTTTTACCTTGCTGTAGTATAAAATTAGAAAGCTGTGGGGAATCTTGGCAGATCTATCAACACTTGTGGAGAGAGGCAAATGGGACTAGATCAAATTGGGATGTTTGGTCGGTGTGGCTGAGTTGGACCAAATGGTCTGTTTCTGTGCTGTATGAATCTATGACTATGAGAAACAAAGTTAATGCTTTGAGTCTAACGTACCCCTTCATTGGAACTGAAGTGGGCTGGAAAAGTGATGTATTTTATGCTGTTGAGGGGGGAAAAAAGGGGGAAAGACCAGCAGGTGGAAAATTGCCAAAAAGACCAAAATCTGTAGAGAGAGAAAAACAATTGAGTCCAGTGACCCTCCTTCAGAGCACTGATGAAGGGTCACTGGACTTGACTTTGTTTTCCCCCCTGTACAGGTGCTGCCACTTGAGTTTCTCCAGAAACTTCTGATTTTGTTTCACATCTCCAGTATCCACAGTTCTTGGTTTCATCTTACCATGTCTCCAAGAGGAGTTTGTAATCAAAACGATGGACAAAGTTGGTCTGAAGTTATTGGACTCAAAGATTGTAAAGAATTATAGGAGGAAATGAAGTGATGTTCCTCTAGCTTGCTTTGGGCTTTATGGAACACTGCAGCAGCTTTAGGACAGAAATTGATTTACCTATTGCCTTTTTACATAACATGTGTAATTCTAAAGTGCTTGCATCCAGTACTACCAATCAATAAAAGTGAATTTGTATGTATGTAATGATCCATTTTAACGGCGTCTTGCAGGATTAATTGTTTTGACGTGATTCAAGTGTTTTAATTTAATCTTTCCTATCTGTTTCATAGCCCTTGGATCATGAGAAAACACAAACAATCCCATTGGAAATTGCAGTGGAAAATGAGGTTCCACTGATTGGAATTTCTGCCTCTAGACAAACTGCTTCAGTAGTAGTCAATGTTGTGAATGTAGACGAAGGTCCAGAATTTGAGCCTGCTGTCAAACAAATCTGGACAAAGGAGAATGTGGAAATTGGGAGAATTTTGGGCTCATATGTAGCAAGGGATCCTGAGACTCAAAGCAGCGATGGCATCAGGTAAGATTGCTTATTATCGACTTGAAGGTAAAGTAAGAAGACCAGGCCCCTATCTAAGGAAGGCAATAGTGGCATGCACTGAAAAGCTGCAGTTTTGTGGTGTCTACGTGAAGCAGAGGAAGAAATAGAAGGGCATCTGGATGACATTCAATATAATGGGATGGGAGATCGGGTACCAGATGTGCTGAATGGCCTGTTTCTGTTAAGGCTTTGAAAGTCAATAAATCAAGCTATCAAGCAGAATGTCTCAACTTGCTTCTCTTTATGCATTGTGTGCAGGTAAATTGTGCAAACTGAACTAGATGTTGCTATGTAATAAGACAGATTAAAGAGTTACCAACTCCTTTGTCTATCCAATTGCTCTGGACTCTATCCTATTATTTACTCCCTATCCCATCCCCCTCCCTATTTTCTACATATAAATCCATGTTTTCCCAGCTGCCATCAGTCCCGAGGAAGGGTCACCGGACCCGAAACGCTAACTCTGATATGTTTTTCACAGATGCTACCAAACCTGCTGAGCTTTTCTAGCAACTTCTGTTTTTGTAAAGAGGTAGCACAGTGGCTCAGTGGTTAGCACTGCCTCAGCGCCAGGGACCTGGATTCAATTCTATCCTCTGGTGACTGTCTTTGTTGAGTGTGCACATTCTCCCCGTGTCTGCGTGGGTTTCCTCCCATAGTCGAAAGATGTGCATGTTAGGTGGATTGGCCATACTAAATTAGCGAGTGTCAAGGAATATGGAAGCTGGGTGAATTGGCCATAGGCAATGTGCTGGTATGGGGAAAGGGTAGGGGTGTGCATCTGGCTGGGATGCTCTTCAGAGGGTCAGGCTGGACTCGATGGGCCAAATGATCTGCTTCCACACTGTAGGGGTTCTATAAATGTGTAGTTGCTGTCTTGCAGAGACATCAAAATTACGCAAGTTTTAAAAAAAAATCTGATGAGAAGATGACACAAGAATCTGAAACCTAGTGTCATAATCACAAGATCCTTACTAATAACTCCAAATAAGGAATTTTGAGAAACTATATTTTAAGGATTTATAACATCTTATTTGAATAGCTACTGTTCAGAATTATCCAGGAGTGAATTGTCACATCTTCTGCCAGGCTTGTTACATCACTCAACAACACAACTTTTTATGTAGCATTTCATTTGCAATGTAATTAAATATCTCCAAGATGTTTCACAGGGGTGACTATAAAGGAGATTATGACCCCGAAACACATTAGCTCAGATAACCAATAGCTTGACCAAAGAAGTTTATTCAGTCATGGGATATGGGTGTCACTGGCTAGGCCAGCATTTATTGCCCAATCCCTAATTATCCCTTGAGAAGGTGGTGGTGAGCTGCCTTCATGAACTGCTGCAGTCCCTGTCATGTAGAGACCTCTCGGTAGTTTTAGGGGGCTCCAGAATTTCGACTTAGTAATTTGACAATATTATTTTAAACCAGGGTGTTGTGTAGCTTGAAGGGGGACTTGAAAACTGTGGTGTTCCTTTGTTTCTGCTTCCCTTCTCCTCCTAGATAGTAGAGGTCACTGGTTTGGAAGATGTTGTTGGAGGAGCCGTTCTGAATTACTGCAATACGTCTTGCAGCTGGTACACACTGCCACTACTGAGCATTGGTGATAGACGGAGCAAGAGTGTTCATGGAATCATTTGAATCCTTAGTGTGGAACCAGGCCATTCGGCTAACTGAGTCCACACCAACCCTCTAAGCATCCTACCCAGACCCACCTCTCTACCCTGTACTGAGGAAGGGTCACCGGACCCGAAACGTTAGCATCTGCGAAGAAAAATCAGTTGCCAGACCTGCTGAGCTTTTCCAGCAACTTCTGTTTTTGTCCCTATGTTTCCCATGGCTAATGCACCTAACCTACACATCCTGAACGTGATGGGCAATTTAGCATGGCCAAACCACCTAACCTCCACATCTTTGGACTGTGGGAGGAAACCAGAGCACCCGGAGGAAACCCACGCAGACACGGGGAGAACGTCTAAACTCCACACACAGTCGTCTGAGGGTGGAATTGAACCCAGGTCCCTGGCATTGTGAGGCAACAGTGCTAACCACTGAGCCACCATGCTGCCCTGGCACAGTAAGTGAGGTAGATTGGATGCCAGAAAAGTGGGCTGCTTTGTCCTGGACAGTGTCAGACCTCTCGAGTGTTGTTAGAACTGCATTCACCCAGGCAAGTGGAAAATATACCATCACATTCCTGACTTGCGTAGAACAGGCATTGAGCAGACAAGAGCTGAGTTACTTGCTGTAGAGTTTGTAGGCTTTGACCTGCTCTTGTAGTGATGGATACGTTTTCAGGAGTGCCTTACAGGAACCAAGCAAGACAGAATTTTGGGTAGGCAATTCCAGTGCCTAGGCAGCTGAAGATTCATAAGTATGACTTCATAACCCTAACTCTAAGTGTCCATTCAAATGGAACAGGAAGCCTGTCAATGAAGGATTATTCGGTCACTGGTTTATAAGTGCAACTTCTAAAATGTTGTATTTCTTATTTGGCTATCCAGGTACAGGAAACTAAATGATCCTGCAGATTGGGTTTCCATTGATTCACAAACTGGTGAGATCAAAACTACTGCTGTGTTGGACAGAGAGTCTAAATTTGTAAAACATAATAAGTACAATGTTACGGTTCTGGCCATAGAAAACAGTAAGTACAAACCTGATGTGTCTTTTTATATTGTAATAATTGGGGGAAAATGTACTGAATGGAATTGTTTGCCATTTCTTTATTAAGAAAATGCAAACAGATGTTGATCTGTATATATGTGCTCAGCATTTGGATATACATGGCTTTGAGCTGTGTCAACTACCCACTGAGTTTCTCGCACTTTGTGACTGAAGATAGTGAGGGTGTGGAAGAATTAATTAGTGTAGTGATAAGTGTGGAGCTGGAGGAGCACAGTGGGCCAGGCAGCGTCACCTGAGGTGATAAGGTTATGGATAGTCTGGGAGATGATGTTTAGGTGGTCAGGGGTAGGGTCATGGTCGAGGGGTCGGTCGCAGGAGGTGTCAGAGTTGGCGCCTGGCCTCGGTGACGTAATTAGTGTAGTTTTTTTGTTCCTGTTCTCCACCTCTTTCTCTTCTTTCCCCCCCCACTCCTCTCTCTCGCCGTTGGAGCATGCATAGTATGTGTGTGTGGCTCCACCCATCCTGATATTTGGGTGCATGCAAGGGCCATAATTCCTGCTGAACAACAATGAGAAAAAGTAGCCAGAAGCTTTGAAGAGCCATGGAACAAAAGGAAGTCATTTTTGGCCTGTTGAGCGGGTACGCCCTCTCTGTAGAGCAGCCTAGTCAATTCACTCCTCTGTGTGGCCTCAAATATATTTCCATCAGGGATTGCCTGTGCAATTTCCACTTTAAACCATGGATTTCATTTTTATACCACCTTCATAGTCTCAGGCCATTATTGCTTACAGTGCAAAAGAGGTTCTTCCTTAGTAACTCTTCCCCCCAGCCCAACCTCTTTGTTAAAAGTATACAAAGACTCTATTCCAGGATCATTGTCAAGAAGAGAGTTCTAATGACTCCAGCCTTCTGAGAAAATCTCTTGCCACATTTGTTCAACCCCTTTTACCTCCATCCTATCACCTTTGCAAGGGTACTTGGGAATGGCAAATAAATGCAAGATTCTGACAACCAGCATAAATTAGTAAAAGATTATTTTCAAAATTACTGGCATGCTCTTCTGCGTGCACATGACCGTCACACTAAACGTACTTTCCACAGACTGAGGAGGCAATAGTTAATGCATTTCCATTGCATATAACTGGAACTCTTAAACCCTGTTCACTGCATCTCTGCATCTCTGGTCTCAGTCTCTGATTTTAAAGGAGAAATTGTGTTCATGACAATGGCAGCTAACACATTCTTATTTTATAACTCCTGATCATATGCAGCCATAAGCTAGAGATTCCGTTTGTGGAATTGGTGAATTCATGTTTTCTTGATTCCTAGTTAGCTGACTATTATTTCAACATGCATTCATTCATGCATTCATTCATGCATTCATTCATGCATTCAT